AACACACTCTGAGTGACAGCAACCACCTGGTTTTCTGAGATGATCACACTGTCGGGCAGCACTCCCAAGCTGTGAACCTGGCTTTTCAAGTGGAGTATTACCCCATCCAAGACACGAGAGATCAGAGCCCCTGGTCTGCCTTTGTCATGGGTCCTGGCTCTGCTGAGGCTGACTATTCCTCAGATGACGAAGAGGCATGGAGCAACCCAGCCTCCTCTGGAGTCAGCCCAGAAGAGGAACCTTTACCAGCACCTGAGGGAGAAGAGGCCCCAGCAGCTTCACAGGAGGGGCAGCAAGGCGAAGAGACTGAGGTACAGTCAGAGGGAGAGACTGATCCAGAACCTGGCCCAGCACCCCCAGTTGGAGACACCCCGAGGCCAGAATCCCCACCTAGCTCACCCGATTGCCCCAGACGCAGGGCACGCCAGCGACTGAATGTACAAGAGAGAAGGAGGAGTGCCAGACTTCAGCTGTTGCAAAGGCAACGTGAGGGGCTGTGAGTCTTTGCAGATTGACTCCCAGGGAAGGGAGGATCTAGTCATAAACAATCCCACTCACCTGGCTCGGCGTGGAAGCAACCATGCTGTCAGCCTCCACTCCTTGCTCCTGAAAACTCTGACTTGATTTCCCGGCTTTCTGACCTCTGGCTCTGTTTCTTGGCTTGCTTTTGGACTGTGTATCCAGCTTTCAGTGAAGGGTATCTGTGGTGACCAGCCAAACCCAGCACAGCCTTTTTGCTAACCCAGAGAGCCTCTGTTTAGAACATCAACAGCATCTTTGGAATTAGGTGGAAAAGAAAGGTAGAGTTGGGTATCGTCTACAAATTGATGACATTGCAGCCCATATCTCCTGATGACCTCTCCCAGTGGCTTCATATAGATACCAAATTGCATGGGAGATAAGATGGAACTCTACGGCACCCCACAGTTCAACGGCCATAAGGTAGAGCATGAATCCCCCAACACCATCTTCTGAGATCAAACCCCCAGGTAGGACTTGAACCACCGTAATACAGTGCCCCATAGTCCCAGTGTTGAGAGGTGGCTTGGTAGGGAAAAAGCCATTGAGGGATCCAGCAGAATTAGCAGGGTCCCATTCCCCCTATCTAGTTCTTGATAGACATAATCAACCACGGCAACCAAATCAGTCTCTGTTGCAAATCCTGGCCTGAAGCCAGAATTAAATGGGTCCAGAATATCAGAGTCCCCCTCTGGCAGCTTTTATTAGCCAGGATGGGCACGCATTGAGAACACAGGTGGTTGGTCTCACCTGTCCAAGGATCTTGTCCACAGCCTTGGGATTCACAAGTGAGAAGTATCCATATAAATTGGATAAGCAGATCCAAAGGAACATCATCTGGACATGTCTTCAAAGTAAGAGGCAAATCGATCCCAGCAGCCTGTCGTGTGGAAAGAGTCTAACTCCTTGGGGCTGTGATGTAAAAGTCCCCAAGCCACACAAAATAGCTCAGCTGGATGATTACGTGCAGATGCAATAGTGGTGGAGAGATATTGCCTTTTCATCATCATTGCCAGAGAATAGGCTCTAATACTGGCTCTATGCCATTTTCAATCAGTTTCGCTCCGAGTTTTCTGCCAGCAGAGCTCTAGCTGTCGCCCCTCCTGTTTCATCACCATCAGCTCCCCAGTGAACCAGGGAGATTGCTTGGCTCTGATTGCTTGAGGGGAGAGGGCACTTAGGGGTGATTGTGTCAACAGCCCCCAGCCGTCTCCCTTTTCCAGAGCCTCAACAGAATTGTCAGCAACTGAGATGGGAAATTAGGCAGTACTTATAATACTCACTTTCTCTGATGATGAAATTATATTTAACTCAGGTCATCAGTAGTAGTATGAAATATAACTGCATATATACATTTATTGTTAATTTTGATTACCATATAGGGATATTTATTTTATGAGCATTTTCTCTGAAAATAGGAGTTTCTGTGAAGGTTTGTGTACTGCTTCTAAGTCCTGATGATGATGATGATGATGATGATGATGATGATGATGATGATAATACATTAAAAATTATAATGTTGAGGGTTTCTGTTTTCAGCTTTTATTGTATTTTCCTCTATTTTTCCAATAGAGTGGACGGGAAAGAAGTGTGTAAGAAAAATATGAGTTCTGCTGGCTGGCTGGCGGGCAACCGGTAGGGGATGGGGGGGGACTTACCAGGTTCAGGAGGGAGGCCCAGGCGACGTGTCCATGCCACTTTCGACATGCACCAGAAGTGATGTCATCATGCTGTGATGTTGTGACGATGCTCTGTTATTTGGGAATGAACTGTATGGTAAAAATGGCTTCTACCACAGTGTTTTTGCCCAGATACCAGAGCATTGCCCAGATGTCACCATGTGATCATGTCAGTTCTGGTGCATGCCAGAAGTGACGCAGCCATTTCACCTGTGATGTTGCCTGTCTCCTGGTAAGTCCCCCTGCCAGCTAGCTGATCGGTGGTGGGGGCAGAGCCTGGCAGCTGGGGACCCCCTCCTCCACCAGGGGGTCTGGCAACCCTATTTGTTGGTTGGATGCATGCCAAGATTTCCTGTGGCAAATATTTTAAGAGAAAAGCAATTCTGTGGTTGCAGGGAATTGCTCCAATGCTTCTAAATATAACAGGGCTCCCAAGTACTTACCTTGATTCGGTGGGGGATATATAGTTCTTCGCGGGACCATTCCCATGGGGAAAACACAGGCACTGCACTATTCCGTCGCCCAGACGTGACATAGGCACGTAGCCGGGTGACGCTCTAGCAGTGGGTCTGGAAACTCAATGGTACCATTGAGTTTCCAGTCCCATTACCAGAGCATCACCCAGCTACGTGCCTACGTCACATCTGGGCGATGGAATAGTGCAGCGCCTGTGTTACAAGCAAGAATCTTCTGGCGGGGAAGCATGTGTCCCCCGCTGGTTTGTAGGTAGGTACTTGGCAACCCTAAAATATAGCTTTCCTATGTACAAATGTATACTAGTTGCCTATTAAAAATTAAATAAAACATAGAATTCAGGATGTTTAAGAATGCATCTAGAACAGCATAAGCAAATATACATTTCTTCTGGTACTAGACAGTAGAGGGACTTGCTGTCCTTCCTTCCTTCCTTCCTTCCTTCCTTCCTTCCTTCCCTCCCTCCCACTCTCTTTTTCCCTCCCTCCCTCTCCCCTCCCTTCTTTCCTTCCTTCCTTTCTTTTCCTTCCTTCCTTCCTTCCTTCTTCTTACACCACAATGTAGGTGTTAACAGAAGACCATTGTATAACATACATGCCAGTCTTGGGTTCAGGTGTGATGCCTACATAAAGTCCTTCCATTTTTGTATTTATCTATTTTTTTTATAAATGATTCTTACTCCAAAGATTTCTTGGCAGAATACATGGGTTATTTCATTGTATCTTCACAATAGCCCTTTCAGGCAAGTTAGAAAGATAATGACTTGTCCAAGGACACCAAATGAGCTTCATGGCTGAGCAGGGATTTCAATTCAGGTCTCCAGGTCTAACTACACCTTACTGTCATGATCAGTGCCATATTTACTGGTGGTAGTGAATTGCAGCTGTGTCATAGGACAGACTAGCAATATCCACATTCAGTCACAAATGTAATCCAAATAACAATATTCATTTCTTTGTCACTGGCTCATAGTTTCAGAGGATTCTGCAAAATGCCATGGAACCTTATAAAATGCAACTGTGTTTTGTCTGGTTCCTAATACTTGTCACATGGGCATCTGATGTGCACTTCAAGTGTATGGGAAATAATAGTTGAAGTGTTTTAGAACCATTATAGACACTGATAGGATATTCTTTCAAATAATAGCGTGGTCTGTTTCTGGTTAGTCCATCTCAAATGGCTATAATGAATGAAGAATACATATAATAAAGAACAATCAAAATAATTATTACTATGGAAAGGCTTCCATATGAAGAGAGGTGTTTTTTTTTTTTAAAGGGCTGTTTTTGTACTGATGCAAAAGAGGACACTTTTTTATCCAAGAAGTAATTCAAGTTATAGAAAAGTAACATTGGATAAGCCTCCTTTTCTTTCTCATCTATGTACATGTATTTCCACATGTTCATAAAAACGGTGCCTTGGCTCAAATTGACCCATGCTATTATCCTGACACTGTAGGTGGGGCTGTTTCCATGGTCTTTTGTGGATGCATTGTTATATTATTCTCTACCAGTTTTGGAAAACCTGGTTTGTGTTCTTGATCAGGCTTAAAGCAATTTCCTTCGAACAGCAGAGAGTCTTTGGTCAGTCTGGAAATAATCTGTTCATGTTTTGCAGAGAATAATTAAGAGCTGTGTAAAATGAGTATTGTGTGAACAGCCTCCAAGCATATATAGTCTTAAACATATATTGAGATGTCTCATCCTAAGGATTTATTTATATCAACTCAGAAGGTCTTAGACTAAGCACAGCTACAGATCAGCAAAGTCTTCATTGTAGGGTTGTCAGGGGCCCCCTGGCTACCAGTGGGGGATGGTGGGGTGTAGGCTTGCCAGCTCTCTGTTGGGAAACTCCTGGAGATTTGAGGGTGGAGCCTGAGGAGGACAGAGACCCCAGCCGAGTACAATACCATAGAGTCCATCCTCCAAAGCATCCATTTTCTCCAGGGGAACTGAACTCTGTAATCCAGAGATGAGCTGTAATTCCAGGGGACCCCCAGGCCCCACCTGGATGTTGGCATCCCTACTTCATTGGCTTGTATCCAACAAGATTTGGCCACAGAGTAGACCTTGAGGAGTGGAACTTTAACTTTTCCCCTCCCTTTTCCCTCTGAACCTCCTGGATTTTTGTTCCTGAGGTTGAGCAGATCACAGGAACAGTGTAGTAGCAAAGTGAGGATCTACTTGTGTGTGTGGGTATATGGGATATATATATATATTTTAATCTTTACTTTCTTAACTAGGTTGTGACTCTTGCCAAATTTTTTTGGAAGGAGAATAAGTTTTCTATCGACCTTTTCTCTGTTTTCATCCAAATTAATCTTTCCAGAGCACTTTGTGAACAGTCCAAGGAACGATGTGAGTCTGTCCTTGGGATTGTGGGCTTACAATGGCCAGAAGACACTGACTGTACTCAGTTCCCGGAAGAAAATTCGGGCAACCAAACCTGTCTAACCCCTGATGAGGATGTAGAAGGTGACTTGTTTTTCAGTACCTTAAACTGATATTTAGTCCTTGAGGTTTTGTAGGTAGGTATTTCATTTTTGCAATATTTAAGATTAAATTTCCAATCAAATTATAGGTGAGATACGTATATAAAGTGAATACCAACCCATTTGTGAAAGGTGTAATAGTAGGCTGGAGGACAGCAGTATTAGAAGGGAGTACAAATGGCAGACAAATTTTTAATATTTTTTTATTTTAAATATTAACAATAACAAACAACAGCAATTGTGCAAAAAAAGGATAAATGGGTAAACAGTTTCTTGCACATATATGTAAAAACAAATAATAGACTAATCGTCTCATGAATACATTAATATAACACTGTCAATGAGCAATTAACATATAAGATTCCTTATTTTTTAAGATATTAACATTTTTACCATTTTTAGGTTCAACAGTTTTCTTAACAAAAGGTAGCCATTTTTGTAATGGCAGACAAATTTTTAGAACAATGACTTGCGAAAGCCCCTATTGGAAGGGGCCACTAGTGCCTGAGTGGAAGTGGGGGGTGAGCAAGGATGGTTTTGGGCAATTGGACCCTGCACTGGCTGTCAGTCAGTCAGCTCTCAAGCAGCTTCCTGCAGCCCACCCCAGAGGTTGGCCCATCATGGAATGGGTGGGGCATATAGACCTGCAGGCTTGTCCTGGCACCCAGCTCAAATTGAAAGGAGCAGGTGTCAGGTCCCCACAGCCACAACGAAGTACACACTTGTAGAAAGGTTTTACTTTAATTGAAGCTGAAGATGCATTGACAGAAACACTGTTAGGAATGACGAGGACTCAAAGAGCATGACAGGTTATAGGGCATTCAAACAAGCGAGGCCCAATTACGGGAGTTCCCGCGCGCCATTAGGCCTGGGAGCAAACGGTACTATACAGCATAAACAGGTATTCTTTCCACGGCACCTCCGTGAGATAACCCAAGCAACTATCCAGCAGCAAACCTCCTGTGGCCTTGAGAGATACACGTTACTGCGATGAAGCAATTAAGCGCATAAACAGGAATGCATAGTAAAAACAAAAGTAGAAACAATTGGCAGCTTGCTGACAGCAGGCTGAAGAGGTGCTTGGCATTCAGCAACTCTCTCTTGGCAAAGAAGGGGTCTCAGCCACATCCATTGCTAGAACAGAGGATAAAGCTGCAGTCTGCCAGCATCTCTTCTATCTGCTGCTCCTGGCAGATGGCACTCTCACCCCACCCCTAGAGGAGAGGAGGCATGGAAAACAAGCCACCATGAGGTTAAGTGTCCCCTGAGGGGGCAAAGGTAGGTGAGCATGGGGGGGCCTGCTGCTGTCCAGGGATGTATCCCCACCCCTTCCAGGCACAAATGTTGTTATTTAACGTGCCCTTGGACTGGTATTATATTACCCTGTAACATGATTTTCCAAAGTATAAATTAGCTGCTGGACATGGAGTAAGTGTGCTAAAATAAATCATAGCTCTAGGACTTTCTTAATATGGAAAAATGACGGGAACTTTGTAAATATCATTTGGTATTATCAAAGCAACTTAAAGAACTTTCTAATTGGTCTGTAAAATGGTCCCCTTTGTAAATTGTAACCAGCACCGAAATGAACAGGAGCAGCGCAAGCGTCCTTGCTCGACTCTCAGTTTGTTTAAATGGGACTTGAGCATGAAAACTTTCTGATGCTTCTTGGATCAGTGGTGTTGGCCTCCTACTTTATCTGAAGCCAGTATTACCTGTGCACAGCAGCGTTTTCAACAGTGGCAGGAATTTCTTATGGAATTATCATCCCAGAAATGTCTGTCAGGGTAGTTCAGTCCTTGGACAGTTTAAAAAAATAAAACTTTTTACTGTGGCAGGTACTGGGGAAGGAAGTGAACGACCAGTTGATGCCGTTTTCAGCCTTATTTTATGTGTGTTAATGTGTGTGTTTTTATATATTATTGCTAACAACCATCAGGCACTCCAGTGCCTTGATAAACATTCACTCTTCATACATCGGCTCCAGAAAACAGGATAGTTCCTACAAATACGCAGAACATGCCAACTACTCACACTGCCAATTGACTGGCCCACCTGTAACAACACAAAGGAACCGACATCTCACCATGGCCTTCAGCAGCTTTGCATTTTGTAAAAATTCCCTTTTCAATTAAGACGCCTGTAGTCATATCGTAGAAGGCATGTAGTCACTGGAATGCAAGTCTATCTTTTCAGTTTTGTTGCTGGAAAGATACTGGGCTAACCCCGTGGTTGTAGGAAAACTTGTGAGCTCTCTCTTTTTTTTACATCTGTCTTTACCTGATGACTTTTAAAAATCTGATTGGATTTTGTACATTTCCTGACAGAATGCTCACCCAGTCACTTCAAATGTCGCTCGGGGAGATGTGTCTTATCCTCCCGAAGATGTGATGGGCAAGCAGACTGTGAAGATGATAGCGATGAAGAGAACTGTGGTAAATGAACTAAAGAAAACAATGTATTAACTGTAAAGTAGCTGGGATGTCAAGGGCAGTCGCTGTTTATTAATGCTTACAATGTCATATTTGATTGCTGTAATATTTGAATTATTTGGTGGGAGGGAGTGATAAACTAAGCAGAAAATATAATAGCAGGGTGTGAGGTCAAAGGTTGAGGGACTATGCAACTTAAAAAGCTATTTCTTTTTATATCCCATTGTTCTTCCATAGTGCTGAGGTGGTACATAAGGGGCTTTATCCCCCATTTCATCCCCACAATAGTTCTTTAATACAGATTGGGCTGGGGGGTGGGGGCTTGCCCAAGGCTATCGCCTAAGAGTCAAAAGAAAAGACATGACAAAAATGACAGACTTCATAAAGTCAGCCTTTATAAAGTACATTGCACATGCACACGTATACACATACTGGTAATTCAAAATGGGCCATACAGGAAGATAAGAGGAAACCGAACCCTTCAACCCTGCTTGGTTTTACTAATCAAAACCAGGCTTCTCATTCTGTTATTAGTACTTGAAAGGTTAAAAAGGCAGATTTTTAAAGGACACATCTTTCCCCCTCTAAAACTGCTAGGAATAGCCAAGGGGAGCATGGGTTCAATTAGCAAAAGTGAGCAGGGCTTGAAGGGTTAACTTCTCTCTTCCCTACCCATGCATCCTCAACCATGGCTGCACGTGTACAGTCTTTACTTTTTGAAGATTTTTCCACAGTCTTCTCCATGTTTGTTTTAGCAATGAGCTGTATGACTGAGCAAAAATTTAAACGTAGATGTCTGCTCTCAGTCCAGCACTCAAGCTGAACATCACACTAGCCGTCAATGTGACGCTTACAATATGTTTGAAAAAGAAACTTAAGACTATAAACAGGCCCATAGCCAGGATTTTGTAATTCAGGGGGCCTTTAAATAAGTCAGGGGGCACTGACATCACAAAATAAAAAAATAAAATAAAAATTTTAAAACTCACTTTTGCGGCTTTCGCACTCTGCTTGCCTACATGGGAAAGCAAGCCACGCTTGGGTAAGGGGCGGTGGTAGGGAGTCCTCCAGGTGGCCCAGATAGTTGGGAGTCCTCCGGGTGGCCCAGAGAGCTGGGAGGCCTGGGGCTGGATGGAAGAGGGGGGGCCTTGGCGGGAGGTCAGGGGGCCAGGCCCCGAAATGCCCCACTGTAGCTACGGGCCTGCTATAATAGCACTTTGGGTCAGATCAACATTTTTATATAGCCCAGTCTAAGACAGTAAGAGTCTCAGAGAGTACTCTTGTGATCATCAGTAAGTTCTAACTTTTGGCATACAAGTACTCAGTGACCGGCTCAGCCAATCTATTTACTCATGTAGACATATCCTAAAGCAAGTAGCAATAATTATTTTCTAAACACGTGTTAATTTCAAGTGCTTCCATGACTAATTGATGTGTTTTAGCTCAGATGCTCAGGCTTTGTTGCATCTCCTGGGAAAGAGCTCTTCATAAACGGGCAGCAGCAGCCACTTATTCTTTATGAATTTTTCTTAAGTGTTTAGACAGCATGATTAAGACGGCATTCCAAGCCATAAATTCTTGTTTGCAACTGTGGTACAGATGACAGTCTCCATAATGAACATGGGCATTTTGTTTGTCATCACAGATTATACATGTTTTTAGTATTGTTCTGAAGGCTATTATATGGATTATAAACCAGAAAACATCCCAAAGTTACGACACTGATGTCAATGGTTACATAAAACAACATATTGCATGGCGAAAACAATTAGAATTTACATTTCCAGCACAGGTCATCATGATCTAGCCAAAGTTCAGTACTTTTAAGCCCATATAATTCCATGATATACTTAATCATGTGCTTAAATCTCTCCTGTTAAAATCATTGCAAATGCTTCACAAGAACAAGACGGAAAGACACATGTGGCCTTCATACTTGGACCTCCAGGGTCCTAGAGTAAATAATCTTTGGGCAGCCCAGTCCTGAGAAATGCCAGGGGGATGGCAGTGGCACCGCTTATTGGCTCTCTATGCTCAAGGGGGACAACACTGGCCCCTGCACCAGGCACAGACCCATAGCAAACATGCCAGAGACCCTAGCAACCCATGCAACAGCCAGCAATAATGGAGCAGTGGCCAGTAGCATCCCTCTAAGTGGCTTAAGTGGGCACAACCAACCAGTACATTGACCATGGCTCCTCGACCCCCCCCCCCCGAGTGGATACAGATGAGTGTCCAAGTTGCAATGTAGCCCAGTTGCCAGAGAGAAGCTAGGCTTGAATCCATAGCCTCCACACCCAAGATGAGTGCCCTAATCACTGGACAAGCAGGCACCTGCAAAGGAGGAATGGCATCAGGCATTAGGCACTCCATTCTAGCTGTGACATAATCACCAACCATATAGGGCTGGGCAGGGAGCATCACAAAGACGGGTGTAGCCTAAGTGGAAGGGCACTGGAGTAGTATGGCTCAATCCCCTGGTGCAATATCTACATGGGGAGAGGCTAGGCAATATTTTGCCTCCCCTGCTGACTGCAAAGAGTGGGAGGATGGTCCAGCTGTTGAGCTGCCTGGGGCTGACATTTTGCCTGACACACCCTTTCACAGCCCCCTTTTACTGTACACACGCGGCAATCGTTCCTCTCAGCTCCCTTGCACCCCAGCTCTTGTTCTACCCAGAGAACCCCCCCTTGAAAGGGCACACATGTCCTCCTTCAAACTACTCTCCTCAACCTGCCCTCCCTGTGAGGGGTGCACATCAGACAGCAGAGTATGTGAGTGGGAAGGGAGTGAGGACTATGGAGGAGGAGCTGTGTTAGTCTGTTGTAGCTGAATACAACAGAAGTCCAGGAGCACCGTGCTGACTAATAAAATGCACCCCAGCATGAGCCTCCCATGAATCAGAGCCCACCCTCACACATGTGTGAAGACTAGAGGAAATCATTCAAGGAAGTTCTGTGGTGAATTTAAAGGGGGGGAGGGGGAGCTGGGCCACAGGGTGGTGAGGGGCTAGGAGCGAGAGAAGTCAGGGGAAAGTTTTAACAGCCCAATACCAAACAACTAGGAACAAACACACTTTTGAACACTCCAGACTTTACTGACTATGGTGGAGGAACAATTCTTGAGGTGGGACTGAACCTACTTTGTTAGTTCGGGGTGCCCTTTGTATATCCTTTGATAATTGGGCTAAATATAATTGGTTGCTTATCTGGATCTGTTTCACTATTGAGTCAAGGTGTTTGGATTCTTCTTGGAATTTTGGATCTCTCTTATTACTGGAGGTTTATTTCTCTCTGCCCTGCTCTTGGAGGAATCATTGAGATCTGAGCTGTTATTGGAGAGTAAGGATTTATCTTTGTGGAAGATGCTAATAGGAAAGGGGGTCTGAATAGTGCGATTGACTTACCTGGCTGGCTGGCATGACTAATGGGCCAGGGTATAAGTTAATGTACTTGACCAAACCTTTGATTAGTTTTCTAGAGAGGGCTGCATTGGAAGGGAGATTTTTGTTTATTGTCCAGCAAATTGTGTCCTGCATTGACGGGAAGCAGTCAAAGAAAGGTGCCCTGATTAGGGTGGTTCAAGTTCTCATTGGAACGCAGGCTTCTTCCTCGTGCTTTAGCCCCTTAATTGAATGTAGCTTGATCTTGATACAAAGTGAATTTCTTTAATAGTGCATTGCTTCTTCTCTCTGTGTGTCTCGTAGACAAAATGTCTCTAGTGGTCAATAGAATTATTATTAGCTTCTATAAATACGGGAGACTGCGTCTTCTAGAAAATTACAGCTGTCAGAATGACATTTCTTTGACCATGGCTAATATTGTTACTGACGAACAGCCAATGCTTTTAGAGCTCTAGAAAGCTGCCCTCTCCTTGTTCATATTCTTTTTTTGTGGTAAGCACAAATTAAAGGTCTTTGAACATCGTTTGTGGGGACAATGACATATTGAGCATAATCTAGAGAAAATTCAGTGCACTGAAATCCCCTTGAAATCAAGGTGGAGGCCTCATAGTGCTCTGTTTGATGCACTACATTCTCAACATACTGAACTGCTGTATAGTAGGTCATCTAACAGTGTACTGTGAATGATGTCCCTTTTCAGGGCCCATCATTGATTTAATTGCTGTAAATTTAATTTCATTGATTTTCCTTAGTAAATTCAGTTTGATCATCAGGTGAGATGAAAGCCCCTACTCAAGCAGCAAATTTGGACAGCAGATTTTGGGCACACGAAAGCCTCTAGGCAGGCTTAGTTTAGTCTAGCACATTGGCTGTCTTGTTGGACATAGCAATGTACTTAATTTTGATGGGATCCCGCATAGTCTGGAATAGCCATGGAATAGCCAGTTCCAAAACCTCAGATGAGAGGGATTATTCTGCTGTAATTCCCTGATATCCTATAAGCCTCTCCTGAGGGTTGAGATCCTCTGATTTTTATCTGTGCCCCCCAGGAATGCAGCAGGAGGGGGTTGGGCCTTCACACAATATGGTAATGCACTTGTCCACCTTCTCAGCTTTCTGTTAATTCGCCATGTGTTTCCCCAAATCTACTTTGGTAGATCTTTAAAGAAAGATTTTGCTCAGAGTGAGTTTGGGAGCCATGTGAACAGGAAGGTGTGGATTTCTCCTCCCTGCCCATACTGGATACCACATCCAGTGCCATTTCTCCTCACACTCACCATTTCCCCCTGCCAGGTTTTGGGACCTTTTTGATACCTTTAAGAGTTATTTATTTATTTATTTGTAAATTCAATTTATAGCCCGCCCTTCACGCGACATGGGCTCAGGGCGGCTCACAGATAGGCGTAAGCCAACACATTAAAACAGGTTAAAACCATATAAAATCATTACTACAATGTTACAACATATTAAGTGCTCTAGATGTTCCAGAATAATCTTCCATAAAGATGATGTCTCAAAGATGGTACACCCAATCAGTGCTGTCAGTTCCACGTGACACTGTCGTTCTCTCTTCCCAGGGCCAGTTGGTAATGATGGTAAA